TTTCTTTTCTTTTTTTTTTTTTTTTCCTTCCCCATGTCTTGCTGCTTGAAAGAGAATTCAATGTTACTGTAAAACTTGGATGAGGTCTGTGCAAGTAGTTATAAGCTGCCGTTGTAACTGCATACAGCAAGGACCAGAGCAGGATCTCCCACTCCCCAAAATGAAAATTGAGTAATTGACTATGCTCAGTGTAAACTGAGTTCACTTTCCTCTGGCACTAGGAGTTGGATTCTTGAATGCAATAGACCAGTGCATTCAAATGAGCATAATTTTAACTTTACCCATGCTAATATTTGCATATGTACATTCTACTGCTCTAAAATACTCCAAATGCAAACTTAGGGGCAGTTGCAGGTAGCATTATGGCTTTACATTACATTGAGTCTTTAATCATTCTAGGAGCCAGGGAATCGCCTAAATTAGTACATGTTCCTTGAGTTCTTGTGAGCCTCTGATAAAGATTTGAGAGTAGTGGGACCGCAGGCTTGGCTGTAGATCACCTTTGGCATTATTCTCTTCTGCTAGGATAGCCCTTAGGAAGCCAGTAAAGAGCTCAGGGCTGTTCTTGAGCTTCAGAGCAGCATGGATCAGCCTCCGGGGCTTAAGAAAATCAGGCCTATGTGGGGGCAGCACATAGAGAAGGAAGGGAGCTAAGGCTGCGGTGGTGAAAACTTGGTGTGACAAATGGATCCAAGTGCCTGGTACCTGGCTGTGGAAACTCTGGTGATGTGTCTAGTCCAGTTCAGATGAGAAATGTTAAAAATCTAGCAATTTCTTAGTGGAGAGCTGCTTTTAGGTAAAGAATAGCCTTTATCTGTTAGGTTGTGGTGCCTTGTTCTGCATTAATCACTGCTTATTCTGTCCCTGGAGCTTTCATTGTGTTGGCAGTTTCCTGGGCATGTGAGTGATCTAGAGCCCAAGCAGTACGGTGCCTTCATCCTTGCTTGCCTTGACCTATTGGATTATGTCTCTTAAGCGTGATCATTAAAACAAAATACAGCTGCCTGCCACGGATACAGACGTGACTCCATACTCCTTCAGTGTCCTCAATGCTGAAGGCTTTCATGCAGTTCAAGGTTTAAATTCCAAACGTGGTTAAATCTTGAATAAATTTAAGTTTCTGTGCGTTTCAGACAAGTGTTTCCTTTGCTCGTTAAACAATGCTCTGTGCCTCTGACTTATTTCTCTGTGCATGTTAAGGTACATGTATTTTGTCTTTAGCTGAAGGTATTGCTTTTTGCCTATGCCTAAGGTTTTTTTGTTGTTGTTGTTTTTGCTTTTACTTAATTAAAGCGCAAAAATGAAGATCGTGGTGTTGATGACGATTTATTAGAATATTGCTGGGCACATGTAGACTTTGCAGTAGATGTTTCTAACGACTTTTGCACTCTTGGCCCTCTGCCAATTTGAAACTGATATTATTCCAAGATAGATAGCGTAAGTTGAACTATGGCATGTGACAAGACAGACTTATGTGTGCAAAATATTAGTCACCATGGTTAAAACCATTTTTTTCCAGGCTTTTGGGAGAGTTGCGAATTAAGCTAAGTGTATAGCACTTCTCGATAAATTATGCTTGCTGGTTTCTTCAATACAAATGGCAAAAGTAAAAACTAACCATTTATCTGCTTTTTGTCCTAGAAATTGGTGATATTGCTGGTGTGGCTGATGTTACGATTAGACAATCGTACAGGCTGATCTACCCTCGAGCTCCAGATCTCTTCCCAGCAGACTTCAAGTTTGATACCCCAGTAGACAAACTACCACAGCTGTGAAATTGCAGAGGGTTACTTTTAATTTCTATTAAAAAAAAACCCAACAACAACAAACTTTTGATTTTTGCCTATAATAAAGGATGTACAAAGTGTTAATATTGAGTCTTCATGTTGTGGAACTGGAGGATGTGGAGATGGAGCATAACTGCTGGAACGCAGCACACATTCCAAGGGTAAACAAGCTCATTGTGTGGCATTTTGTATGTATATATTAGTGGAAGTAAATATTTAATGACTGTTGCAACAAACTTAATTTCATATTGTTGTACTTATTTAGATTTCTTTTGTAGGGAATCTAGTAAGATGTATTTTGGAAAATTTAAAATATTATGTAATTCCCAAATAAACTTTTCCAAAAACACTTACCATCTTGTGAATATGACCGCAATTTGACATGCGCATGCTGTTCCATACGCTGAGAACTGGAATGCAGTCCCCAGGATGGCAGAGTTAGCTTCATACTTACGGACTTGGTCACAAGGCTGCTTAAATGCTCGCTTTATTGACAGTTCTTAATCTCTAGTGTGGCTTTAGTATTTGTAGTTAGCTGTAGAGTGTGGGTGACTTAACCCAGAACGCAAACAGTTGCTGAAAAGCGGTTTGAGTATTTGCACAACTGCTGCTAAAGATTTCCAAATTTGTTGTGGAGGGATTAGTCACATCCTTGGCACAGTCTCCCCGATTTCACTGATGTCTCTCCGCTTTGCTTCTGTGGATTTTGACATAATGATAAAGCAGCTGAAGGGAAACATAAGATTCTTACTTTAGTTGAATTCCTGACAACTTTGTGATGCTTGGTACCGTACAAAGGAAGGTAAAAAATATTCCTAGTACAAGTTTCTGTTAAATGTTCTGACCTATCAGTCCGCCCTGCAGCCGGGCTGGCCAGTGGTAAAGCTTTTGGCACTGTTATGTTCGAAGTGAGCCCTTGCTTCTTTGAAGTGACGCACCAGGTGCTGCGGAGTGAAGGCCAGCAGTTATTCCACCCTCCCCAAACGAACAGCTTTGAAAACGAGTTGCCTCCTGACAGTGTCCCTCTGTGTGCAAAGCAACAAATGTACTTAACTGGGAGGCTTCTGGTTCCTGAGTTAATTTTGTATCACAGGTGCAAATTCATGTTAATTACCAAAATGAACAGCTGAGGGGTCAGCTTGCTACGAATCTGGTCCTAAGCCATCCAGAGGGAAGGCTGCGTGTCCAATGCGAATAGCACTGATTGTCAGTAGCCCTCACTGTTTTCTTGCTGGTTTAGTTTTAATCCTCTTCTGCCAGTCCAGACTACTGAAATGTGGCAGCTCAACATTTTTTTTTTTTTTTTCCTTCTGTAAGCAAACAACAAAGGCTGTACAGTTCTGTGACACCACTGAAGCTGTTGGTTGCAGTCATGAAAAATTCTGGTGCCATGTTAAAGGTGGTGGTCTTGGTAGTTTGGAGGGATGGTATTCTCATGTCCAATGGATTTCCTTAAACTTTGTTGGAACATTTTCTGTCACCTGGGCTTTCCCTGGCTTGCTCTGAGCTGCTCTGTCTCCCTGCTTTGTGGGAGAAGGTGCAATGCCTTGAATAGGCAGGGCCTGACCTGGCCTACTGTTACAGTTTGGAAAGGCAAAGGTGAAAGTTCTTTCACCATGAGTGTACTTTCCAGCATAGATCAGTGTGTTAAATCTACTACGTGCAGGTTAAAAATGGCTGAAACTTACATTGCCAATAATGCTCTTATTTTAAATGCTTTCAGGCGTTAAGCGTGAGCACTTGACGTGCGAGTGGTGAGTGTTTGCAGTTGAAATTGTTACGTACAGCAGAAGCTGCCTGGACTGAAACTTAAATACATCTGTGCAAAGCTCTGGAGCGCAGCAGAGGGAGGCAGGGAGGTACTGTCCTGCCTTGACCCTGCCCCTTCCTGCAATTCCGCAAGCAGTTCCTGCACCTCCCTTGGTGTGGAGATGGTAGTAACCGCGCAGCCCAAAGAGGCAGAATGAGGAGTATGCTTGAAGGGGCTGTATATTCTGAAAACCAGTTACTACAGGTCCAGTACGCTACAGTTAACGTGAAGCTTTCAGAGTTATACTTTTTTTTTTCCCCTGGAATTCATTTTTAGGCAGTTACGACCCCTTTAGTAAGCTGCTTTGATGAAGCTAAGGATTTTAGCTTCTCTTACGGAAGCTTCTCATTCAGAAATGGGCTCTCCTTGTTCCTGGCTGGAGCATTTCTCAGCGGTGTGGGGCACGTCTGCGTGCATGCCGCACCAGCAGTTCTCGGGATCGCAGGGACAGGCGTCGGGAGCTGGAGAGGAGGTTGCCGCAGCTCTGCAGCCTGTTTCAGCTAATTACCGCCTTCTTGCGTTACCGAAGCTAAGTGGTAGCAAAGGCTGCATGACAAGTAGAGCCTAAAGTGCAAGCAAGGAGACTGGCTACGCTTCAGGTGTTTATAGGTTTTGGGTTCTCTACGTTGTTGCTGGAAGGTGGTTCGGCAGCGAGCCTGGGAGAAGCCCGGAGTGCTGAAGGATTGCATTCCCCACACACAACAAAGGCAAGGGCATAGTATCCGCGGGTGCTTCCTGTGTTAATGCAGCTGCAATTTAGACTAGATATTTGAAACCGTCTGTGTCTTCATTTGGAGCCAGCCCTTTCTGGAATGATTGCTTAGTTAAGTACTAAGTTCAGTGTCTCTAGGCAATGGTCTCATGTGAAATTTTTAGTTTACTCTTAGGAGTAAAGATTTCTCTGTATGCAGGAAAGAAACCTTCGTTCTCTGCTTAAAGAACAAGCTCATTGTAGGTTGGGTAGAGGTTTGTTTTTGTTTGCGGAGCTTTCCTGGGGAGGGTGGGGGGGTGGGGAAAGAGGCTGTAATGAAGAAAATGGCCAGGAGGGGAGCGGGTGGTGTCTCCCCCCGCCCTCACCTGCACACCCAAGCACGAGGCTGCCTTCCTTCAGCCTCGGAAAGAAGGGATGCTCAGAGGTAACTATTTGGTTTGATTTTTAAAAAAATGAATGGGAGTACACTGAGCTACTGCTAAGAGATTGGGTTTCTGTAAGTCCCCTCCTGAGTGCAAGTTCTTTTCTGAAGTTAACCTGTGGAGAAAACATGACAAGTCACTTCAAGAAAACAGCAAAATCACGTTTGGGACACAATTTACAAATTACTCTATTTAAAACTTTAATTTGTGATATTAATGACTGCAAAACACTTAGAATGACATTTTGTTAAAGGCACATTTCATTTTAATGCATAGTGTACCATTCTAAAATATCCTAATTTCCTTACAAAGTGCTTGAGCAGCCACATACAGATAAAGTATAGCAAAATATATTTACAATCTAGGGTTTAAAATCTTAATCTGCCTAGAAATATTTAAAAAACTACAGAGATAAAATTAGTGCTTTCTTTCAGCTTAACTGGGTGAACATACCCTGCCCTCTAATTTTTTTAATATTTTTTTAAGTGATTTACTTAGATTAAAAAAAAGATTTCTGTACAAGATGTAGTTACAAAAAGGTGTTTTTGAGGATACTTTCGTAAGTGTTAAGCACCCTGTTAGATGCTTATATATATATATATATATTTGGGAACCAAAAAAGGTGAGCTGACTGTACCTCAAAAGTATTGGTTTCAGCTAGATACAGGACCATAATTTGTTTCTTGTTAAGTAGAATCTGGAAACAAGTAATGCTGAAAACTTGACTCACTCTGCCAAACATGATTTGTAGAGCTGGCAAAGAGCCCTCCTTGTTCCTGCGGGGGGATGCCTGATTTAGACCTATTTAACCTTTTTTTTTTTTTTTTTTTTTAAATTTTTTTTCCTCCCTAAGCCTCTCCCCTGCCTGACCCTGCAGGTCTCTCCAGCATTATGACTTTAAACAACCACCGTAGCGTTGCACGCTGGAGTGGTTCGCGTTTCTTCTTTGAATGACTAAAATGGCAAGTTTTGAATTCATTTGAGTGCTGATTCTCGCTGTCTTAGCCCCCAAACAGCAGACTCCTGGCTAGGATGAACCTGTGAGATTACATATGCAATCGGCTCTGAACAGTGCTAGAGCAAAGGACCACGTGGAAAACTTATTTTCCAAGAATATTTGCCCACAGAACACCAGATACCAAAAGTAGGTCTTGGTTTACAAGTATGCACAGTGCCTGGTCTAAATTATTTTTCAACTTTTGAGGTACAGCTTTTAGTGTTAAGGGGTTTATAAAATATACACTGTTTTTATCAAAAATATTTATACATTCTGTTACAACATATTGCTTTTACCCTCAGTGACTGCCAATCTAAGTTCTGGAGTTCGGTGGCCTATGTGCATACAAATATTTTTTTCACTCGGAGTTCTCTGTTGTTCACTTTGGCCACTGTGCAAGATTAATGAAGTGGTATAATTAAATTACTTGCCTGGACATAAGAATACATTACAACTTCCAAATATACATGTTTGCAGCATGTATACATTGAAAATCCTCATGTTTTCTAAAAGTGATATGATATTGTACAGCAGGTAGAGGATGATCTAGGTGGTTAGATACAGACTGGTTAACTTCTCTGTCCACTCGGCGAGTGGGAAAGGCGTGAGTCTGAGGACAGAGGTGGGGGGGCTTGGGAAACGCATATGCTTTGCTCCGTGGGGTTAGACTGAGCGACATCCTTGTTACGTTCTTCGTATCGACCAGGATTTTAAGTCATGCTTAAAAAGCTTGAAGGCAAAACTGTTTGGCAAGCGGCTTTGGTAAACTTTCCGGATTTTTCTGGATTTTTCTTGGTAATGGAAGCACTTACGCTGTTGTTATCTCAAAGGCAAGGCATTTAACATTTTTCCTAATAAATACCATAGAAAATTTACAAAACAAGGCATATCTGTTCTCAATACCATTTTTTTAAGAACACAAGATGAAGGTGTACATAGAAATGTGTAGTTTTATAGACTGCACAAGATAATATTTAACTGAAATCATTTGCCTTCTCCAGCTAGAACCATGTTCTGCGTGAGTGTCATCAGTATCCCAAACTTCTATTTCAACGTGGCTGAGTAGAGAGAAGTGATTACCTAGCTCAAAGTCTGCTTTTCCCACTTAAGGCAGATAGTTTAAAAAAGTGATGTTATCTGCTGTAGAGGAGTGAGAGAAACAGTACGGATCCACGTGTGCTCATGTGTGGGAAGCTTAGTACAGCCTGGGTTCACCAACTCAGCTCAAGAACTGCTTTCCAGTGCTCAGATAAAAAACAATATACAAAGAGGCCACTCTTCACAAGAGTGTTAAAACAGTACTTAAAAGGATCTTCATGTGATGTAAAAAAAACCCAGAAGCTACAGGTGGCACAGAGAGCAATTGAAGGGTCGGTCTTCTTCCGAGAGAGGCATTCTTGTGAGCCAGTCAGCTGGGGTTTCACAGTGTCTGGAAGTTAACACCAATCAGCAATGTAATCAAAATCTCTGAACATTTCCTGCTCTTCTTCTGACAGTATCCTTGGTTCCCGAGGTGGAGTGAGGATAGGTGCTTCAGAGGTAAATTCGTCATCAAAATTACTAACGTCTTCTCGTCCTCTAATGGTGGGTACAAAAGGAGGCTTCACTTTCTTGGCCAGTAAAGTATTCCAATCTATTAGCTGTAAAAGAAACCAACTGATGTTTAGTTTCCTGTCTCTGCTCCTTTGTCTCCGTAGAAATAATACTAGTTTGTGCTCACCCTGAAGAAGTGATGCTTTTTCACATCCTCAGCATCTTTCTCTCCAGCTCCAAGACGCCGCTCCGGGTTCCTTCGTAGCAGCTGACAAAACACGTGAGGTTTCAGTGCAAAAAAACTCAGGGGTAAAGGGAGGCACTAGGGAGGGGATGAGTGCTGCTGGGTAAGAGCCAACACCAAGAGTGGACGGACAGTGAAATTCATATTGCCTGACCTCTACAACATTCTTGGTCCTCAAAGAACGGGAAAGACAAAACTTGAGATGTACATAGCTAGAGAGCGCGGTGCTCTTTTAGAGATGCCTCAACCTGTTAGCACAATCCCGCCAGCAGCCTGGCTGTGAACATATAGAGGGCAGACTCATCTGTCTCTGTGGTACCAAGTCTTGGTGCCTGAGGTGATTTGTGGGGCTGGTGTTCAGCACAGAGCTATTGAAAAGCGTGCTTCTCGCTGGAGAGGGTACAGGCTTTACGTAAGCTAGTATTTCTTGCCTGGCCCAGAAGAGAGATGACTCTGCTGTCTCCTGTGCCCAGCTATTTCACAGCAGCTGATTTATCAAGAGAGGGTTGAATACTGCTTTACACACCCAGCCAAATAAAAGGGTTTTCTAGTTAACACCAGATGTTAGATGCTCCCACTTGTGAATGAATCATGCTGCTGTGAGCAGACCCCTGTTCCAGGCAGCGTGCCCAGCATCAGGGTGGGTTGAAACATTCATGATGCGGCCGTCAAAAAATACGGTCTGCTATATATTACGTGAGAACTTCTCTGATGGGAACAGCGCACGCACAGCTACAACTAGTAATCTGCAAGCACACGGTTCACGGTACGCATGCTCTGGGTGCGGTGTAGCAGTTCCCTGTCCCCTGTGGATATTTGCTTGATAATTTTCATAGTGAAAATACCCTCCCCAGGTACTGCCTGAAAACTGTATTCTTCCTTCTTTCTCTAGACAAACACTCTCTCCCTGGGAGTAAGCAATCGTTTTGAGCTATAGACTATTTATGCTATTACTTAAATACTTACGTCACAGTAGTTCCTGTGACATGCTTTAACTTACATGCTGCAGCACATGGCTGAAGTGGGTGCTAGACTGATACTCAGTGTCAGACATGTAAGTGGAGAGGCTGCTTCCAAAGGCTTTGCATCGCCTCCAGTAGATGCCTTTCTGTCAACTGCGGCACGCTTCTAACTTAGGCAGGTTCGAGCATCTTCTTCAGAGAAGCGGAGGCATTACGGTAAGGAATAGCGCTAATAACAGCCATGAACAAAATCAGCTGTTCTTTGCCGAGCATGGGACTGCAGGTGCCATGGGTATGCTGTTCCCTGCCCCAGTTGGAATGAAACCCAAAAAGATTTAGAAGTCTTTGAATTAAAATATTCACGTGACAACGTTAATCTACCAAATAGGTCAACGCAGCAGTGTTCTGCTAGGGAAAG